ATCCAGTGGTAAAACGTTAGCGCATCGAGAAATATTAGAATTTTTCAGTTAATTAATAGAACTTTAGACCATGGTGTTACGAATATAACGTAAAAAGAATACTCTTAACACCTTTAAGCGTTATAAGCTCAGTAAGAATATAAGAGGTTTGAATGTTGTATTTCTTACTTATATATATATTTCACTTACTTATTCTTACTTATCCTACTAATATTATAAATGAGAAAGTTTGGATGTATGGATGTATGTTTGTGACAAGTGAACGCGAAAAATACTGGTCGGATTGGGCTGAAATTTGGCATGATGATAGATCACATTCCCGATTAACATATAGGCATATTCTTATTTCAAAAATCCTTTCGGGCTCCGCCCCAGTGGCTCTGGAGTTTTCCATGTTAACCTTATGAGAAATGGAATTATTGAATCTTAACAGCTGTTTCAATTAAACAAGTTCGTTCTGTTCTATGATGTTCAATAGCATTAAAGTTACAAGGATTACCAACAGGGTGCAGCACTAGCACTATTATTTCTTTTACATTTATGACAACAGCTAATTTTCATATATTCAAGTTTCACATATTCAAGTTGTTAGTTATTTTCGTTCATTCTGTAAAATGTTTTAAATATATTTTTCAATAATATTCAACAAATATGTATTGATAAATCCCGATTCATTATGGCTCTTCTAAAGTTTTTAATAGTTTCCTGTGGATTGGATTCATCTGCGATTGTTTTCCCTCTAATATAAGAGCTATCTCCTTTTTACCAAATTTAATCCCAGCAACGAAGTGAAACAGTATTACTCTACCTGGTAATAAGGTTTGTTTCTTGCATCGCTGCAAGTTCATTTACCTTACTCCATATTCAATTATAATCGAACACAGAATTCAATAGACCTATGCATTAAAATTGCAAAGCATTTTGACTTACATTTCTATGCATTTAAATATCTTCCATTTAAAGTTATTTCAATCTTATTTGTGTGTTGAGTTTAAGTTCAAGTTTTAGGTAGTATTTAGAACGATGAACCGGGCTACAAGGTATGTCTAACTATTCAAAATTGTCACCTAGCTGTTATTGTGTATTATGTATTTATGTATATTATGGGAGCTACGTTCCGATGAAAATTTTGTGTTTATTAACAAACTACGTAAGTAGCTGAGTGAAAGCAAAAGGTAGTAATCAAATTATGTCATTTGATAAAAATGTTTGAAAGAGGATAGTTAAAGGGTGATGTGATTAGATGAAAAGCGCTCCGTTTGCACGATGTTATGTCAATGAAATGTGCCACAGGAGTTGAGGGAAATTCCTTTTTGTTGATGTGAAACAAATCTCGAACTTTTATCTTTATTTTTTACTGGAAATTTAAGAGTGTTACATTGGAAATGAGAGGATCTCTATATAAGATCTTCTTATTACATTTAAACAAAAAATGTTCATATTAAAACGACACTTTACGTTGATGCTTCTTTGAAGAGAGATGTAGTCCGGTTCAACTTTTTTTTATTTATAATTTAAACGTATGACACTAAGTTTGGAGACTCATCGTGCACCAATACCTTTTTGCAGAGTTTGTCAAAATCGAATGCTAGAAGTTTGTAGAAATTATAGGAAACGTACGTAGAGATCGACTAATAACACGTATGCAGTCTTAATTGTTTGAAAAGTGTTTCACTCCTTAAATATTGACTATATAAACATAAAACACTCTACAACTTTCATTTTCATTAGGTGCACCTTAAAGTAGTGTGTTAAGGTAGCCAAACATTTATATTTCCTATTGATACTTTGATTTTTAAATCTTGCACTAAATTCAAGAAAAATAAAATTATCTATTCCAAATTAATCTATATTTATTAAGATTTTCGACACAATACTATTTCGTGTTTGAAAGGGAACATACTTTGTGTAATGTATTATGTACTTACATGTAGTGAATGTACAATTTTGATATTAATCCAGCAATCTATTATCGAAGTAATCTTCTTGGACTATCTATCATGTAATAACCCCAAAAAGCAGCTTAAATCATTAAATACCTCTGCTTAAATTGGTGGTTATTTTAGGTTTTGGGTATGCATTTTACCAAAAGAGGGTTTAAATATGTTATTATTGGATCTTTAAATTCGTACGCCAACTCTCAGAGTAAAATCCGAGTACATAATCTTAGAAAAGCCATGAACTGCATCCGTAGAGTAAGTTATATGTTATGATATTCTTAGATATGTTCTAATTAAATCAAATTAGTTGGCAAGGTATATTTAACTCTACAGCTTAATTGGCTAAGTGTGAATATCAGTGAAAATAAAAATTGACCGAATGACTTTATTACATGAGTTTTAGATGGGGAAAAAACTCACCAACCATGCGTTTTTCTACTCATAATTAAGAAGAACATTGTTTCTGCATGTAAAAACATCCTGTCAGGCTAAGTGACTGTGGAAATGAGATATTTTCTCTCTGTCAGTAAAGGAAGAATTATAAGGGAAGGCCTAATGAAAAATTATAAGGAGGGCCGTTCTTCGTTTAATAAGGCTTATATATTTGCCTTACTCCTAAATTTCACTCTGGTGACATATTTTTCAAAACGTCTTCATAATATCTAAAAACAAAATTCTGAGCAAGTATATAATTCTGCAAATATCCGAAAGTTAAGATTTCATTTGGACCCAACCCAACAAAGATTGGCCCGATAGAAGTCTCAGACGAACTGAGGAGATTGCTGTTCTATCAACGATTCATACTACCTTGTTTTTTAATTCTCATGAGATGAATTTGGATTATGCTTTATTTAAGCTTTAATATTAAACTATATTTGCTAAATTTAAAATCCATAAATTGTGGTAATATGAACCCATGAAGTACGTTCTTATAGAAGTTTAGGAAGAACTACCAAAACGTATAAAAAAATCACAAAATCAGACACGATGTAAGATTGCAGCATGGAGAGTTAAATTTAGAGTTTTCAGTTTCTTATGCCACATACAACACAAATTGGAGTTTAGACTACATGAACTTGTTCTGCCATTTAAATATTATGGAGAAAATTTTATATTGCACATTAATTTTTTCATGCTTGAGTTGAAAACATTAAAAACAAATTGGATTTGTCTAGTATATGTAAGTATTAAAGACTTCAAATAACAATGTAGCTTCTATTCCAAGGATAACACCCTCAATTAGAATGTTTGATCAATGCTTATTATTGAACACTTTGCTCTTAACAATATCCGAAGATAATTATTTCCATTATAGAACAATTTTAACATTGATACCAACATTAAAAATAAATATCATAGAGCTCATCAACACTTACAGTAGGAGAGCTCAAGATATTTTAATCGCATCCGACATTTAATTACAAAGCCATCTGCTACGAACAGCTGTTGCCACTATTTGCCTTTGAGAAGAATATTTCAGGCATGAAGACTCTTCTAAGCTTTGAATATTCAAGCTTTTAGTTGGAAATGATAAATTATTTCTTTTTGTATAATAATAATTAGCAATTTACTAAATGTGCAATTTAAGTTTGATACTGCGATTTAGGAACGGTCTGTACTGTGGCCTTGTCAATAATTACAGTCAAATTTGAATAGTACCTATGTATATCTTTTGTCATAAGGGGCAAGCTGGTCTAGTGGTTAGAGCGCAGGACTTCGGTCCAAGAGGTCCCAAGTTCAACTCCCGCCAAATCACCAATGGATTTTATCTAAGTGATAATGCCGCAACCCCTAGGTCTAGCCTGAAGTAATGTGAAAAACAATCCCAGGCTCGTGTCTGGCGTCCTAGGACAAAAAACCTTTTGTCATATTCCCCAGGACAAATTACCATTGTATTGTAATACCATTGTACTATTGTATTGTATTCCAATGAAGCGTACTTACGTTTTCAAAATAGAAATTGTCACTATCCCAAGGTGCAGGTTCTTGGTAAATGCATATGTAGTCTAGATTATGTCAACAAACATATTTATTATTTACATTACAGTACTTATCTTAACATTATTCCAAAAAAATCAAAAAGAAAAAAATAATCCTTGACTAACATAATCATGTTTTAGGACGTTTATTTATAATTAATAAAAGTAATTAAATTTGTATGAAAAAGGCCATTAATATAATTTATAATGTACAATATAACGATGGATAAATGTTACTTTTAAAATTATTAACGTGTTTCCGATAGCCTCATTAATTTATATTGAATAAAAAATAACAACAATGTCCAAAATTGATCTTTTTTCGGATCGAATCTTCAACTAATCCATTTGACGATGAACAGTGTTACTCAGACAGTCTTAGACAATAGAACCAGCTCCTTAATCTTCTATCAATTTGATGCACTCTTTCAGTTAGTATCGAATACAACATGAAACTAAGGTAAATAAAAACACAAATAGCTTAAAGGACACATTTTACTTAGAATTATAGTATACAGTCTTTTACATATCTGGGAAATGTGCACAGTTTAAACCACTTACTGTTTAAATCTAGGTTAGATGTTTGGTTTAAGTGGTGGGAAAAGGGGCTCAGTCCTTTTCCCAGAACAAAAACCAACAATTTTCCACAGAACACACAAAAAAGATAATGTTCTTAACAATGTAACATATTGATACAATCTGACAACGGTCACACATTCGAAATTAGTACAACGCTTTTATGCTTGTAAACTTCTAAAACACATATTATTTACTTTGAAACACACTTAACGACTTTGTGCTTTTAGGTACTTAAACCATGACGAAGACTTAGTATTGTGACTTAATTTAAGGAAAATAGATTATTTACACTGTATATTCATTTACTCCCCAATTTTTAAGTGTTATGCGGTGTCTTAAATTGTTTACGAAATAGTTCATTGACAATGTATTGGGTTATTGCATCATTAACTAAGTAGAAATGAGAATCCTTTTCTAATAACTAAGTATAGAACTACAAACATTAGTTAATATGTATGTGAATAACAATAGCTAATGATAGACAAAATAAATAGTTGAGAGATTGGTGTTTCAAATATAAAAAAGATCTGAAAACTTGTAAACAAATGAATTTATAATTCCTGTTTATTTAGTTAAAACGGCGAATTTTACGTGGTGTTTAGCGTATTTTCTAGACATTTTCAAGGATTATATCTTTTCATTTCTGGGTTTTTGCCTTCCGAATTACTTAACCAATTACTAATCTAGAGCTTAAATAATTAATTTAAGGTAAGTTTTTTTTCAAAACTGGTATAGAAGGGGTTGTTTTACTCTGCATTATAATGGTGAGTATAAGATTTTAATTTTCTACATAAAATGTACAACAGTTAATGCACACTTTTTAACTCAATGGTATATCTTAACAAGATTTAATCGGTCCTTTACTAAGGCCTTAAATACATTGAACTGCTATCCATATAAAAATATATCTAACGCTACCAAAAATCACAGTCGAAGTCCTCAGATAGACGTATAAATAAAATATAAAGTGCCATACTATGGTGGCAACATTTAGTATAGATTGTATAATAAGAGGTAGTCCTAAACTGGGAGTCGATTTAGTAAGTATGGTCTTTGTAGGTGTCGACGACAAAACTCCTCAAATAAAATTTGTTAGGTCAAAATTACAAGTTGGCAGAGGACAACTCTCACCATTAATAATTTATTCTAGATGCCTGTAAAATTATTGACTAGTACGGATTGTATGATGTCTGTCAGCAAATCTCGGGCGGGCATTAATTGCGCCAACTGCTCTAAATCAGGTAGTCGGGTATTCCTGAATTGCACCAACTATTCCAAGGAACCATCCGATACTGCTCCACGTTGCGGCCCTCTTTGACTGTATAATTGAGTAGGTTAGGTTAGGCTAAGTAAGTTTAGGTTTTGAGTTAGGTTATGTTATGTTTTGTTAGGTTAGGTTAGGATAGGTTAGGATGACACGTAAACAAGGACATTCCTTCTGCCGGCAACTCGCCCCACCCTGGCTTGGGCATGGCACAACTAAGGAACATTTTTTGGGACCATTTGAGGGCTTTGCACAATTATGGAACTCTTTGGCGCAATTAATGCACGACCCAAGTCTTATCCTGTTTACATATGGAACAGGTTGGGACCTGTCAGGTCTCGTAGAAGCCTTATCAGTAAATGTTGCAATTCCGGTGCTATTAAATTTCCTATAGAACTATTGAATAATGAAGGAACCATAATTATAAGACCGTGATGGCAGTGTGGGGGTGTGGCAACAGCACGGTGACGCTGTCTCGCCTGTGTGTTTGTGTTGTGGTTGGCAGCGCTGTTTTCGTAGTACCCTCGTCTTGGCGCGCAGGGTTGGCACACTTGGAGGGCAGCAGCTGCAGGAATTCCTGACGAATATTGGTGTTGAGCCAGCCGTACACCACGGGGTTGGAGACCGCGGAAGACATAGCGGTTATGTGACAAACTGCTAAGGTGACGTACAGGTCCTGAGAGGTGACCTCAGTGTAGGACTCGCCGGAGTAGTAGATGTCCGCAGTCAAGGAGAAGATACCCAGAGGCAGCCAGCTGAGAGCGAACAGGATCGCTACACCTACAATGTGGATATCTGTTATATTATAAAACAGAGGGTTTTAATTTGTTTCGTTAAAAAATAGTACTGGGAGGTTTTTTTACTAAATTGAAATCGATGAACGTGAAAATAGGGCTCGAAATTGCCTTGTGCTCAAGTATTATCAAAGTGTAGTTTTTTGGAAGTAAATATATTGATCCGATGGATGTGTGTCATAGTCATATTTTACAGCTTGTTATTGACTAAATACACCTTTTCCAAAACATATAACTTATTACAAGCCTAACAATGGGTCCATTTTTGAACTATTAATCAATTGATCAAATTGGTAGAGCCTTTAAATATTTGTCAGTAATTCCGTAACTAAATAAACAGCCATCAGATATTTTATGGTAAAGGGGTGTTACAGAAGGTAAAGCAGAAGGTGAACAAGCACGTTCCATAAACTCCTCACAGTAAGTGATGGTAGGACCTGACTTATAACCGAGTTTTAGTATTTTACAAAAATACATGACAGTGAGCTTCAAACAACAGAAAATGCAGACTATAAAAAAGGTAATTTAAAGAAATAAGGCAAAATATTATGCATATTAATATTACAAAATCATAACGTATTTGTTGGATGGATAGTATAGTTGCAGCAAATGATTGCAAGTGTCACTAGTTACCGAGGATACCAGTATAATGTGAAACGGAGAAGTTAATGGAGTGGCTGAGAAGACAGGTCAGCTGAGCACGGGAGTTCCAACATCCATTAAAGTGAAGTAGGTAAACAAAACGTTTGTGAGCCTCACCAGTTACGGGTTATGTGGGATGCATGTAGGATATTCAAGTTATAGTGTTAGCAAAACGGGAGTGCCGATGGAGACCTGTGGGGGTGCGTGCGTTTGAAGGGACTTGACCTGGTCTCCATCGGCACTCCCGTTTTGCTAACACTGTAGTCACGCGTGAATATTTCTCGGGTTGCTATGATAAGTTTTCACAACAGTTCCTCCTAATCCTTGGTACCTGAAAGAAGCAGCGTGGTTCTCCTGTTCCTCTGTATCTCCCTGTGAGCTCTGCGCAGGTCCTTCTGTGTGCGTGCGTGTGCGTGCAGGTAGGAGGCGATGCGTGCGTGAACCACACACACTACCAGCGCCGGTATGACTGCTTGTACCAGCAGCACGGCTACAGCGTAGGCCACCTTCAGTCTCTGGGAGGGCCATCGCTCTATACACGTCTCGTACAATACTACCTTGTGGAACGTAACCGGCTCCAATACCTGAAGCCACAGTTAAAAATTACCAACTATCACATCTAGAGTAAAAATATGTAATACGAAATTAGCAACATAGTGGTTATAGTTTGTTGTATTTTCTTTGTCTTTGTCTTCACTTAAAAAGAGAGGATGAGGGATTGAAGCAAAGATATGTGCCTTGTACTTTCGTTAATTTTGTAGAACGATCAAACTGATATGTTTTATTTTTTACTGAGTACTTATGTAAACCTATAGTTTCCCGAGAATAGAGTACTAAAACTACCCAGTCGTCAAATTATTCACTCTTTACAACCAGATTGGTTGTATCCTGAAATAGAAGTGTTGACGAGAACTCTGTAACACCATAGCTAGAGTACTGAATGAGTTAACTTAAATTAAACCCCAATTTAATTACTTCTACACCTGAACAAACGTCCAAGATATTCTTACTTGATAGAAGCCCAGAGGAAGAGTAGCCAGAGCTGATATTAACCACACGAGGGCAATGGAAGTGATGACTCGACTTTTGTTGTTCGTTGTCTCCTGACCTCGCACAATTGTCAAATACCTAAAAGAGCATACAATATTTACTCTAGCTATCTTATTTTTATTTTGAGTAGAATTGCGAGATTGTCCATATACTGTAATTATAGCCCTTAATCTGTTTATTTCACACATCTAAATGGAGTTAACATTGAAAACCAAGCTTGCAATTATTTATAGTAATAAGTGCTAATCATGACGATGTAAAAAGTTAATGTAACAATATGACCCATAAGTACATTAGTTATGTACACTTCGGCACTGAATACTTGTTGGAACTAATCCATGCCAAATATTGAAGATATTAAACATCATACACTATGTATGAACATTTAACCACTGCAATACACTAAACAATAAAGATATACAACCATAATAGATCAAACAGTGCTCGAAAGGTCTTGAATTTGGATTTGAGTGGTTGTAGAAAAAAATTACTGTGTGCACTAGTGTGTGAGTCATTACCAGGAGACCATTCACACCAAACGGAACGAGCAAGAGGAATTTTAGAATACGTTATTATGGTTTTGCTGTAGAGTATATTATTACCTGTCAAGGGCAATCACAGTGATGGTCCCAACCGACACCATGATGTTGGCGCCCTGGATGACGGGTACGAGCTTGCAAAGGGTCAGACCCAGCGACCACTGTCGTCTCAGGATGGAGACGAGGGTGAACGGCATGCAGATCAGGCACAACGTCATGTCGGAGATGGTCAGGTTGACGATGTAGAGGTTCCTGGGAGTGTGCATCTGAGGACGACGAGCCACCACGAAACTCACTACAAGATTGGCTGATAGTCCGGAGACTATCAGAAGACCGTAGACACAGATCAGGATCACCTAGGGTATAACAGGTAATTAAGCGGGGTATATTAGAATTCCAGGTTCAGTCAATTGGAATCCGGTTCAGTCGGTCGAGCATTAATACGCCAAAGATTTCCTTAACTGCGCCAAGCTCTCAAAGGGTCCCAAAAAGTGTTCCTTAGTTGCGCCAAGCCCAAGCCAGGTAGTTGTGAGATGCCAGCAGAAGAAATGTCTTTGTTTACGTGTCATCTTTGACTATTCCTAAACCAACGTAATCGAACCAATCCTAACCTAACATACTCAATTATACAGTCAAAGAGGGCCACCACTTGGCTTGGTTAAGGAACGTATCAAGTGGCTCCCTAGTAGTTGGCGCAGTTCAGGAATACCCGACTACCTGACTCAGGTCAGTTGGCGCAATTAATGCCCGCCCGTTCAGTCAGTGAGTCGATAGCTTGTTGTACTGTGGAACAAATGCAGCAATTTCGTTAGTTTTCGTTCCGGTGTAACTTTTTTTAATTTATCATTACATTTAACTGTTGTGATTACTCACATTTCCTTGATACCTTAGGTGCACAGGCCCGAAGCCTATTTACACGGGCTTAAGCAGACCAAAACAGATTACCATTATTAAGGTAAGAAAACATCCCAACCTTAAAACGACCAAATGTTGGGGTATATTTTGCGTTGATAAAGTATTTTGTGAACCATTTGACAAACTATAATCTTTGAAATTTAACGTGGTGATGATTTATCATTTTCAAACTAGAATAGCTGTAAAGCTTCCGGAAATTTGGAAAACTACTATTGATTATTTTACAGTGAATAGACACCAATATCTCCAATGTATTCAGGTTATTAACCTGTTGAAGTTTCTATGAATATAATCTTTACACCATTTCACCATTATAAAACTCTATATAATAAAATATGAAGTTATTTATAAAGATAACAATGGGTTTAAACTCTCCACAAACAAGTCAAGAGAGAGTGGAGTGTTTGGATCCAATTATAAGTAAGTTCTACGATAAAAGAAGAATCTTTTCAAAACTTTTTCAACAATTGGTACACGAAGATAGAATAAATTATCAGCTGCCGCTCATTACGACATGAATGTAAATAGATCCTTATTCTATATTTGTATGACGCTAAAAATTACAAAGAAAGTGTAAAGTGGCTTTTAGATAGCTATTTAAAGAGAGAGGTGTCGGTTATCTCACCCTGCACAACACAAAGAAATTCTTCAGCTAATCCAATAACGTTTGAAGTGTTTGAATTTAATCTTTACTTAGTTTAAGAAGCTTTTGAAAGATTCTTCTAAAGGATCTTTTCATTGTTAAAAAGTGTGTTGCCTTTACAAACTTTCTTTAAAAATAGTTCTCAAATATCTACGTAGCAAAACGTAATAAAACTAATAAAGTATCCAACTAAGTACTATCCAAATCACAGCATGTGATTTCTATGGATTTCTACAGACGTGTTTTTTTATTTCTACTCGTTGGTCAATAATTCCAGTATTAAACAATGTTGAAATTAAGAGCTGTATGATTGAATGATCAAAAACTCTACAAATATATAACGAGTCGTGTTATATGCAGTGAATTCCAACACTGAAGCACAGCAAAATGAGATGGTTTTTTTAAATAGAATTTCAGATATCACACAAATGGGGTTTTTCAGATTACTATGAATATATAAAATGATAGGTTTTGTTGGTTTTTGAAAAGAGGTCACAATATCTACCTTACAATTTACCGTGGAGTTTTTAATATATATTTAAACATTAAAAACTAAGCTTAAACTTATTTAAGGTTTAAAATAAATTGAAATAGATATAAAAGGACACACAGTTTTGACTACGTACCAATTAACTATTTTTAGGTGGTTATTCACTTTTCCCTGCTTCTAAAATAGGCTGTTTCAAAGAAACTCAAATTTTTAATCCTGGGAAAGAAGTATCTAATTTTAAAATACTGAAATACAAGAATGTCATAAGGTAGAGGGGTCTTTAAATCCAAAATTAAGAGGTTAAAACATTAACTATATAAATGTAAACATTTCTACAGTAAACTGGAATCACCTGAGTTGCGCCATTGACATTTCGATCACGTGTCTTGTGTTCTTGAATAATCTTGAAAGCGTCAATGACGTTAAAGTTAAAAATGCCTGACGAATTGAGCTCCATCATCAGGCATGCTTCGTGCACGGAACAGTTCATAAACCAACAAATCATCCAGTCAGGTAGAGGGGAACTTGACATATGACGTCACATATGAGCTGAGAGGTCTTGGCACTCAACGGTGGACATTACCTAAAGAAAAAAATAACGTCAAATAGATGACATCAGAGATTTACACTAAACAAATCATGTATATAATGATGTTTTTCAAATAATTATCGGTGACATTTTCCAATAACTCGTTAGTCATAAAACAATACATAGTTATTTAGGAACATTTATAAAAATGTCCACAATAACAAACAACATAGATTTCAAGTCACCAACAACAACTCTTAACTAAGAAAATATTTTATTTAAATGTTAGAGGAGATTTTTAAGTTTTGATTATTTGATGCTTAATTGTAAATTATTTTAAATATTAAAATTTAAATACATTTTAATACCTTTTGGTAAAAATAATAACACTATTTTATGATAAAAACTATTAATGTTCCGCCTATGTTTATTTAAATCTTTCAATATATTGTTTTATCACAATAGATTATTTTTTAATACTACGTAACTTAAAGATGTTTGTTTAATCTATTTTAACCGTTTGTATAGTAACGAACGTGTACAAAACATAAAACTACCATAAAATTGAGTAATAGATCATATAGGAATAATATTATAGTATGCAACTAGTCTTACATTTTTTTATGTTAGGTTGTGTATCTGTTTATTTAATGGTGATAGTAAACCACAAATGTTAACTAAATAAAATAACAAAAAGCAAGACTGACTGTTCAGAAGGTTATACTAGTAGTAGTCTTCCACAGGTTGCTCTTGCTATAAAAACTGTTTGTTTGCAATAGAATTGCGGATGGCAGAGAATTAATCCCGACTGTCTGCAATAGACGGCTGCAAAGGATCAGTTGTCACTGGAAGTAATCGATTCAACTCCAATGTTGCCACAAACGTGATAGCGAGACTTGCTGTGGGATTTTTAGTGTATAAACACCCTCAAAGTAATCATTTAAAATTTGAAAACCTTTAAACCCAGGGTTTGACGTTCAATGATGGTTTTCTGATAGAAAACACTTTCATACTCATTTCTTAATACACCAAGGGTGTGTCCAATCTTAAAGTTTGAAAATTACAACATAAACTTTTTTATAGAAAAATATTTCCGAGGTTTTAGTACTATTCAGATCAGAGTTATTGGTCCTTTAATTTATTTTTAAATGGTGTAGATGAAGGTTCTAGGAATACACTGAGGAATCCTTGTTCAATCATGTTATTTTTTTCAAGAGAGTCTAATCAAAGATTTTGCTAGGCCAATTTACCAATAATACATTTTTAAGCCAGATAAATACACAATTACTAATACTATCACTAATTCTAATATTTAGTCACTGAAACAGGTTATATTTAGCAGTTTGATATAGCATTTAGAACGTTGAACTTAAGAGATATGGGAAAGGAGTTGAACAGTTTTATGCCATCATACAACCCTCTGCAAGACTGACGCTTTCGCAAAGAACAATAATTGGCCATCACGGCCATCTTTTGAATGTTGATAATAAATTTTGTCTTCTTGCTCTCGAATCCCCAAATTACACAACATTATGCTATCCATACTGGTATGTACGATAATAATCTCGACGGGTTTCACCTAACCTAGTTTAAAATAAAACAATATCTACATTAATTGTTTAGCTAAATGTTTTGGGTTTATGACTGACTTTCCATTATGGACCGTCTAAAATATAATTATTTTATATGCAAAAACAAATCTGCCAATCAAATAAGCAACCATTTACTTACATTGTACTCTACTTTTATCTTTGACATACCATCAAAGTTAAAGTTGTAGCCAGGTTTTTAATCAAATTTGTCTTAGTTGATGTGAGCCACCTACAGATTGCGCTGATCTAAATTACTGATTTCTGCCGATTAGACTATGGTTTTTACCAAGTCAAACTGATGGAATGACTTATTATGAGCTATAGCAACTGTTATTACCCAGCAACTATGTCAGTAACGAAAAGTAAGGTACAAAATAGAGTTTTAGACACTAGCGCAATCTGTGACTGGCTCACACAACTACATTCTTTTTTGGTAAAAATTGGCGACAGCTGATCCATATAGATGGGATGTCTTGCTTTTATACTATACTGTTATTAAATATTTATTTCATATTGGATGACTGAAAAGTGTTAAGGCACGTTTAATGCGCTACAAACCAATTATTTAGATAAAATATTCAATAAGGAAAGTCTAGAAGAACCTTCTTAGGATACAACGATGTAAGTCCCTACTAGGAAATCTATAAGTACAACTAGGAAAGCTGCTTTACGTTGTGGGGGGGGGTCTTGTTGGCTAAAAAAACTAAATCCAACCGAAAAGTATTGGAGGATTATTTTTATTGCGAACTTAAATAATAGAAAACTCTTTAGTATTTGACATGATATATATTTTTATTTGTGTAGCTAACATCAGAATGTGACTTTGAATCAAACTTTATTATTGTACTTTGTCTCAAATAAACTAAAAAACTATTTTTATAATCTTAACTTAATAATTTACTTATTCCTTACAAAAGTTTTAAAAGTGTGTCAGGCAAAATGTGGATAAACTATTTCCATCTTCTATTCATTTCAATTTTAAAAAGTGTTTTAATCCTTGTGGAGTGGTTGAAATAAATCTATTCATGCATCAAATTTCAGGCTAGAGATTAAACATGTCAGAAAAGGAAAATTTCATGTAAATATTTAAAAAATACTACTCGCCGTCTGGGCATTGCCTTTCTTTATTACTGAAACTTGTTATTCGACGGATTCCTTAAACAAAACCCCAGCTGTTCTTTAAATTGAGTAGGCAGAGTAAGCAACATGCGCTATGATCTCAAATATGACATGGACCTTTATTAGAATAATTTCAATGCAATGTGGAGTGAAAATATAGTTGTAAATAAAGTTACGTAGTAATAATAGGTAGTTGAATATTGTATTACAAATTGAACTACTTTTAATATTGTAAAATAAGGTATTGAATGACATAGTTTATTGCAATTCAGGCTTAAACTTTAGTATTAAAAGGAAATTGAACGTCAGACATATGATACACCTATAGTTATAGTCTGGAAGCTACAAATGTGTGGACCTCAAGTTCCAAAGCAATAAATTCATGTTATGTTTGTCCTTTACATTCCAGTGCAATTACATTAGCCCCAACTCAGTGTTGCATTTTTCTTATTTTTAAATATTGTATTTTCAAAGTTAGACATAGTCAAGAATTATAATGTTGTATGTGGTTTAATTTAATATATTAAAAATTAAAAACAATATGGCACAAGATGACTATTTTGTACCATGACAAAGATTGTCCATTATCAAATTCCCGTGACTTTTAGAGGGGATCCAATAGTATTTTTTTTTTTTTACCTGAGGAATACTTATCTCAGAAGTCATTATTTTCTTAATGTTAACACCAGTATATAGTCTTAACTCGTGAATTAAACTGAAGCCATTAGGGATATGCGTTAATGATAGTTGTATTATATATGCTCATGTGTTCTGATCTCTGTAAAGCCAAAGTTGAAATTTCAAACCAATACAAAACTGAGTACTTCAATTTATACGAATTCGCAAAGTTGTCAGTTTATGTCAAAAACCCATGAAAACGTTTCAGTTTTCTGTAAAGATTAAAAGTGTTAACCAACACAACTTCTATTTTATATTTTATTTACACTTTTCACGAATGGCAAAACGAAACATCAAAGAACTTTACCTCGTTCCAGCCCTTTAATCTAAACTTTTCAGTTAACTGCAGCCTCAGTCTCGCTCATTCATTGAGTCCTAAAGGTAAAGTGTGTTAAAATGTAAATTATTATAACTTTAATGGGGTGTTTGACTTTCAAACGCTTTTAAATCAACTCCATAGCTAATTTTGAAATGTAAAAAGATAAAAGACTATTCGCCAGAATTGTGCATTCTTTAATATTTTATTCATGTCAAAAAAAAATAGTTTTCAGGGTAAACTGTAAATTTTACGAGTGATATTTGAATGAAGTGCCATATGTATAAATTATTCCCACAAGAAGCACTCTATACCTCAAGTTGTGTGACATAAGCCAGACACGGCTTATAACTTGTCGATATGACTTCAACTGTAATGGGAGCCTACACAAAAAAATAACGAATTAACTAAAGCTCCATTACTAACTGTCTTAAGATCACACACACTATGAGTCTATGGTCCGAACGGTTGAAAAAATAATGATTTGTCAAACATTTTTATGATTTAAATTAGAATTAAATATTTTAAATGGATATTATCTTTCATTTAATAAAAATTTGGAACGCTGATTTCAGTCCCAAAAAAAACTTAGCAAAATTTATTTTAAGGGTTATTATTATATTGCTGGAGAATAGCTTAAATCGATCATATGTTTTAACATTATATCACTTTTTTATTTCCAACAATTTTAAATCTTGCCTTTACAATCGTAGAGTTTTCTATTAATTATTAGCAGTTACTATATAAACAGAGATATCTTGAAGAATATCTCTGATGAATTGACCAATCTGCATGGATTTAGCAAAATCTGACTTGTAGACGGTTTGCGACTCTGATTTGCCATTATGAAGGGAAATAGCACTTTTTCAGTCGACTGCAGTCGATAAAATGTTTACCTTAGAGCTTCAAGAGTTTAATATTTTCTAGGGTGGCTTGCATTGGTAACAACCATATGATATACCCAATAAAAAATAAACTGTATCAGCAATCTCGCCCATACTTTTTCTCGATGGATTGTCAACAACCTTTATCATGGGTAAGCTGTGGGCAAAAGTTGCAATAACTGTTGAACCATTGAAGCATTAGGGGATCTGCCATTTATTTTTGAATCATAACGTCCGTAGTAATATACTACATTTCAATCAAATCGTCTAGAAGTCCTTAAAATCCGATTACTCCGTTATTTTATGTATTTTTTTTAAGGGAAAATCATATAATTTACAATTACTTTTTAACCGTAATGTTTTTCAGTGATGTGAGTTGTAGGCCTAGCGTTTTGTTGCAATTTAAAAAAGGACTATAAAACACTAAATTTTAATCTATATCGT